GCTCACGCCTGTAATTCCAACACTTTGGGAAGCCAATGTGGGAAGATCACTTGAGGTCAGGAGTTTGAGACCAGCCTGGCTAACACAGTGAGCAGTGAGACCTGTCTCTGAAAAAATGTAAAAATTAGCAGGGTGTGGCAGCACACAGCATTAGTTGCAGTTACTCAGGAGGCTGACAGAAGAGGATTACTTGCGCCAAGAGTTCAAGGCTACAGTGAGCTATGATCATGCCACTGCATACTAGACTGGGCAACACAGCAAGACCTCGTCTCAAAAAAAACAAAGAAAAAGGAAAAGCTGAAGTCAGGAACAAGATAAGTATGTCTTGTCTTCTATTTAAGACAGTACTGAAAGTCCTTGCTGGGGCAGAAAAAGGAATACAAGGCTTCCAAATCAGACAGGAAGAAGTAAAATTGTATGTTTGCAGAAGACATGATCTTATATTAAAAAACCCTGTATACTTCACCAAAAACTATTAGAACTAATAAGCTCATTCAGTAAAATTAAAGGATATAATATCAACATGTGAAAATCAGTTGTATTTCTATATGTGAATAACAACCTATCTGAAATGAGGTAGCAATCTCATTGACAACAGCATCAAAACAATAAAATATTTAGCAATTAATTTAACCAAGAACATGAAAGACCTATACATTAAAAGTATAAAACGATGAAATAAATTGAAGAAGACACAAATAAATGAAAATATGTCCTACGTTCATGGTTTGGAAGAATTAATATTATTAAAATGTCTATACTACCAAGAGTAATCTATAAACTCAATGCATTTTCTATCAAAATTCCAATGGCATTTTTCACAGAGATAGAAAAAAATCCTAAAATTCGCATGGAACTACAAAAGGCCCCAAATAGGACAGGCGCTGTGGCTCACCACGCCTGTAATCCCTCCCAGTACTTTGGGAGTCCCAGGTAGGTGGATCATGTGCAGTCAGGAGTTCGAGACCAGCCTGGCCAACATGGGGAAACCGCGTCTCTACTGAAAATACAAAACTTAGCCAGGCATGGTGGTGGACACCTGTAATTCCAGCTACTTGGGAGGCTAGGGCAGGAGAATCGCTTGAACCCAGGAGGCAGAGATTGCAGTTAGCTGAGATCGCACCACTGCACTCCAGCCTGGCTGACAGAGCGAGACTCCATCTCAAAAAAACAAAACCAAACAAAACAAAACCCAAATAGCCAAAGTAATCTTGAGAAAGAAAAACAAAGCATGGGGCATCACATTTCCTTATTTCAAGCTGTATTAGAAACCTGCAGTAATCAGAACAGTATGGTGCCAGCATAAAATCACACGTATAGACCAATGTAACAGAATAGCCCAAAATGAGTCCACGTGTTTATGATCAAGTAATTTTTGATGAGAGCACCAAAAATATACAATGGGGGAAAGACAGTATCTTTAATAAATTGTTTTGGGAAGACTGACTATTGGACCCTTATCTTATACCACTCACAAAAATTAACTCCAAATGGATTAAAGACTTAAATGAAACCATAAAACTACTAGAAGAAAATGTAATAACAAAAAATAAAAAAGAAAATGTAAGAAAAAGTATTCTTGACATTGGTCTTGGCCATGACCTTTTGGATATGATACCGAAAGCAAAAACAAACAAGTGGGATTCCATCAAACTTAAAGGCTTCTGCACAGCAAAGGAAACACTCAACAAAATGAAAAGGCAACTTATGGAATGGGAGAAAATATTTGCAAACCATACCTCTGATAAGGGGTTAATATCCAAAATATGTAAGAAATTTATAGCAATAAATAGATAAATACATAGTAGGTAAAGGACTTCAATAGACATTTTTCCAAAGACATACAAATGGCTAACAGATACACGAAAAGGTGTTCACCATTACTATCATCAGAGAAATGCAAATCAAAACTACAATGAGAAAATCGCCTCACACCTGTCAGAATGGCTACTATCAAAAAGACAAGAGATAACAAGTATTGGCCAGAATGTGAAGAAAAGGGAGCCCCTGGGCATTGTTAGTGAGAGTGTAAATTGGTATTGCCATTATGAAAAACAGTATGGAGGTTCCTAGAAAAATTAAAAATATAATTACCATATGATCCAGCAAGCCCCCTTCTAGGTATATATTGAAGGAAATAAAATCAGTATCTCAAAGAGATGTCTGCACTCCCATGTTCATTGCAGCAGTATTAACAACAGCCAAGACAGGGAAACAATGTAAGTGTCTGCTGAGGAAGGAATGGATAAAGAAAATGTGGCATATGTACACAATGAAATATTATCCAGCCATAAAAGGAAATTCTTTCATTTGTAACATGAATAAAAATGGAGGGCTTACACTAAGTGAAATAAGTCAGATAGAGACAGACAAATGTTGTATGATCTCACTCATGCATGGAATCTAAAAAAGTTGAACTCAAAGAAACAGAGAATACAGTTACTAGGGGCTGAAGAGTGGGGAAATTGGGGGAGAACGTGGTCAAAGGGTACAAACTTCCAGTTATAAGATGAATAAGCTCTGGGGATCCAATGTATGGAGTAGTGGCTCCAGTTAGCCATATTGTATTTCATAACTGAATTTGCTAAGAGAGTAGATCTTACATATTCTCACTACACACATAAAAATGGTAACTGAGGTGATGGATGTGTCAACTAATTTGATTGTGCTAATCATTTCACAATATATAGATATATCACATTTTTTAAAAAAAGGCATGGAGGAAACTTAAATGCATACTGCTTAGTGAAAGAAGCCAATCTGAAAAGGCAATACATCATATAATGCCAACAATAGGATATTTTGGAAAAGGCAAAACTATGAAGACAGTAAAAAGATCAGTGGTTGCCAGAGGTGTGGGAGGAGGATAGACAGAGGCATGAAGAACTGGAGCACAGTAGATTGAGATTGTTCTGTATGATACTGTAATGGTGGATACATGACATTATACATTTGGCAAAACCTGCAGAATCTACAGCATGAAGAGTGAACCATAAAGTAAACTACAGACCTTTGTTAATAGTGGTGGATCAATTTGAGTTCTCTCTTTGTGACACACATACCACACTAATGCAAGGTGTTAATAATGGGGGAAGCTATCTGCTCAGTCATCTGCAAACTTAAACTGCTCTTTAAAAAAGTCCATTAATTTTTTAAAAATCAAAAGAAATGTAAAAACAATCAGTGAGGTTGGTTTTCAAACTGGTCACTGAAAAGGTTAATGCAACAATTAATGAGAGGAATGTAGGTTCAGAAACCAGTTGTGACCAGAACTGTCTGCTATGAGACTCTCAGAAGTAGCTATAGTCTCCATGCAATTAGTAATAACAGTTGAAATAACATCTACACTGATGTATACCATGGGCAGATTTATAGATAAGGAAGATAATGATACTTATGTGAGTACTTGTTTTTTGTTTTTTATTTGAGACAGAGTCTCACTCTGTTGCCCAGGATGGAGTGCAGCGGTGTGATCTCGGCTGATTGCAACCTCTGCCTCCCGGGTTCAAGCAATTCCTGACCCTCAGCCTCCAGAGTAGCTGGATTACCGGCATGCACCACCATGCCAGGCTAATTTTTGTAGTTTTTGGTAGAAATGGGGTTTCACTATGTTGGCTAGAACTCCTGACCTCAGGTGATCTGCCCTCTTCGGCCTCCCAATATATGAGCACTTTTAAAACAAGTGACTCCCTCAGATCTTGTTTTATTTTCACAAAACTTATTGTATCTGAACTTTGAAGTCTCATTAAGGTTTTATCCAACTGGTAAAAGTAGACTAGGATGCCTATGGAGAAATAAAGGTAAAAATCACGATGTCAATCTAACACTAGCCAGAGTTTTTACAGAGGAGACAGACTGCCCTGTATTTCGTTATTTATGCTTCTTACCCTTTCATTCTACATGTATGTGCAAATTAGCTCCTTGCTTCATATTAACTTTCAAATAGCGCTCGGAAGCTTTCCATCTGACCTTTCTGTGGCCAGCAGGAGGAGACCAGGGAGCTTAACGCATTCCCATATCCTGGTTTCTGTGTCTAGAATTCTTGCTTTGAATTTTATAAAGCTACTATTCATACATCTGAGATAAGAAATTCAAATACAGTAAGATACTCATTATAAATAATGGTTTTAACCCTAGATGGGTTATAGTGAGGGGATTAGTTTTCCAATGTTCACTTTCTATAGAACACAGACTCAAAGAAAACACAGACTCTGTCAAAGGCTAGAACTCAAATCTTACGATAATTCAGTGCTCTTTTCATAAAAACGTGCTGTCTTTATATGATCTACATGCCTTACAGGTGTCCTATCCTGAAGGTAAGCAGTGGGTGTGTAATAGGTGACAATATATCTGAGTCACTTATAACACTGCCTGACACAAAGTATACTCTATGTGAGGGGCCAGTAAGCTTCTTCTGTAGAGCCAGACAGTAAACATTTTAGGCTTTGCCGGCTGTAAGGTTTCTGTTGTAACTAATCAAAGCTGCATTGGCAGCATGAAAGCAGCCATAAAAATGAACGTGACCAGGTTCCAATAAAACTTTATGGACACTGAATTCGAATTTTATATAATGTTCACATATCATGAAATATTTTTCTGATTTTTTTCAACCATAAAAAACGTAAAAATGGATGTAAAAACAGGCAGTGGGCTGGGGTTTTGGGGCACAGTTTGCTTTATATAATTAGTAGACATTATTATGATGTCTATAATATGTTTCTAGAAATTATTTTTAATGGTTGCTTAAACATAGAGTCTGTTTCTATGTTTTTTATTTTTAATGGCTGCTTAAACTGGTAGGAGAGGGAAGATTCAAACCCAGCTTGTGTGACATCAAGGCCCATGCTCTTTCATAAACAAGATTGTCTGGATGTTCTATAATTTACTTAGTCCCCTGTGGTAAGAATGTAGGCTATTTCCAATATTCATTATTACAACTCACCCTCCAGTGAACATCTGTGTAGTTAAGTCTTTACGTGCACATAGTATTATACCCATACCTTAAAATGTATTTAGTGGTAGCTATCAAAACGGCTGGCAGGGGTGTGCGTGCGCCTGCAATCCCAGCTACTCGGGAGGCTGAGGCAGAAGAATCGCTTGAACCCGGGGGGCGGAGTTTGCAGTGAGCCCAGATCGCGCCATTGCACTCCAACTTGGGCAACAAGAGCGAAACTCTGTCTGAAAAAAAAAAAAAAAAAAGGTTGACAGAGCATCTAAAGAAACAGACTCTAAAGAAGTAATCTCAAAAAGTAATCTTTTATGGTTACAAGAAAGTTCAGACATACTAGAAAAGGAGTTTTATAAATAACATATATGTACATAGAACTTACGTCCCAAACACCATTTTAAGACCTTTATATATAATTACACCTTTTAGTCCTCAAAAAAATACTATGAAGTGCAGGTATAATTATCACTATCATCATCATCATTATCCCCATGTTCCTAAAAGGAAACTGAGGCACAGAAGGGCTAGGTAACTTCTCCAAGGTCACACAGTAAACTGGTAGGAGAGGGAGGATTCAAACCCAGCTTGTGTGACATCAAGGCCCACTCTCTTTCATACCAGGCTGCACTTGCCCAGTGTGCACCTCCAGGTACTCTCTATAATGTGCCTTCACACAATCGGTGGTGGTCTTTTTTATACTGAGATCATATTTCACATGCATGAACAACCTCATACTCTAATAACTGGTGCCAATTTTAACCCATAATGGTACACTTTTGCTGGAAACTGGGTACCCATCTAACCTTCCTCTATTGTCCTACAAGACATCCCCGCACCAACGCCAATTCTTCATTAAGTTTCCCTGTTTTTCTTACCCAAAATAGCTGTCCAGTAAACAGTAAAGGTGGATTGGAGCATACTCTCATGTCTTATTTTCCAATGTATGGCCCCAAATCTACATTCAGGTGGTGCTTTGCCTACAATGGAGGGCCCTGTACCGCCTGAGATTGCTAGTTTCGATTAAGTACCCTTCTTTGAAAACAAAAACAGTGGCACGTGTCAGAAGTCCCTCCTGCGCGGCCTCTTCCCCCTCTTCTTCCGCAGCAGGAGGCCTGGCCCCCGCGTCCTGCACCCGTCTGGACCAGACGTTCAGCCTCCCCCTCTCCAGACTCGGACGGGAACTCGCGCGCACTCCGGGGTATTCCCTGTTTGTGCTGAGTTACACGCGAATCTCCCAAAAAGGAGATATGCGAGTGGGTCGTCCAGCTTTGAAGGGAAACGAGGATTCCCTTTCTCATTTTCTCTCCTGATTTCTCTCCCTAACCGGACCGCACTTCTCGAATTATCCCCGTGGGGAGGAACGACAAATGCCGCCGGTCCCACCACACTGCCGCCCCCCACTCATGCCCAAACAAGGATAGACTCTTCTAGCGAGGGAACAAAAAAATAAATAAGCGGGCGTTTCAAACCGAGTCCTCCGGTGTGCAGACCCGCCGCGGAGTCCCAAGCTGGGCGGGCAGTCCTGGCAGCGGCGCGGGGCTCCGCCCGCCGGGGGGCGCGGGGCGGCGGGCGCGTGCGCGTGCGCGGTACGGCCCCAGCCCTGGCCGCCGCCGCCCGCCGCCGCCGCCGCCGTCGCGATGCCTATTTTAGTCAAAGCGGCTGCGGGCTTGGGGACCCGGCCCGGGCAGCGGCGCTTCCGGACTCGCCGACCCGCCGAGGAGCGCGCGTCGGGCTCCCGTCGAGCAGCTGAGCCCGTGTTCCCCGCGTCCCGCGCCCCGAAGCTGCTGCTCCGAACTTTGGTCGGCGCTGCCCAGGCTCCCCGCCAGGGACCAGCCAGGTAAGGACGGGAGGCGCAGCTGCAGCCTGCTGTCCCCCCGCACCGGGCTGTGTGCGGCCTCGCGCTCCCCTGGCTAAATCGGGAAGCGAAAGTTGGATCTCAGCCCCTCGGAGACCAACTTTGTCTGCCCAGGGGGCTGTTGCTTGTTCTCCGCGCCCGGGCAGCCGGGGGCGCCGCCCTCTGTCCCTCCTCGTTGGCCGCGCCCTCGAGGGGCTCCCGGCCCTTGGAGGCCGCCCTTCTCCCCGGGTCTGGGCCCTGCGGCCACAGAGACCCTCAAGGGTCAGCGGCCGCCGCTCGGGTCAGGCAGCCCCAGCGTCCCCAGGTCTTCGGCCCCACAGAGTGCTGGCTCCCGCGCTCTGCGGCGGGCATGTCCCTTGGTGAGCTCCACTTCTGCTCTCCCCGCCGGATCCCCGGGGTTCCTCGTCGCCCTCTGTAGGGCCACCGCGTGCGCAGAGCCTGCGTGCAGCCGGGCGCGCAGTGTCGCCCACTGTGTCCCCGCTCCGAGAGTAGAGTGGGCCAAGGCGCTCACTCCTCACCCCCGCGTCCCGAGAGCGCCTGGCCGAGGAGGACCGTTGCGGCGGACCCTCCTTTAAGGAGCGAGGTCAGAGGGCCCCGGGAGAGCGCCGATGGCTGGTGACCCGAGGTCCACGCCACCCACCCGCAGCCTCCTTCCCCGAGCCTTTGGGAACGGGTTGTTGGCCAGACAAGTCCCAGAAACTGCCTGCTTTGAAGCATGAATAAGTGCGAAAAGACTTAGCAATGTAATGCCATTTGCCATTCGGAAGATGTGTGAAGATTCAGTTAGAATTACAGAATGAATTAACTCGACTAGCAAGACTTGCTCGTTGCAGTTACCTTTTTCCGTTTTTTAGTTTGGTAAAGGTTTAATGTTAGTTTCAGCATTTAGCTATTTAGCCCTACAATCACCTATTTGAAAACCGATAAACGGAACTTTACAAGTATGAGTAACTTAAGGACTTCAACTTTGGTGATCTGATGAGGGAAAGATACTTTCTCTTGATTTAGTCAAAATTAATCAGAAAAGTTTACCAATTTAGCAGTCTAACCTTTCTCTTTCCACCTATTCTCTGTATAAGAATTGTTCAGTGTAAGCCACTAAACGATTAAGTGGTAATCAACGTAAACTGATCTGGTCAATATTTTCAACAATAGGTAACTGACATTTCACAATAGACAATTATATAGATATATAGATACATCTGTATGCCTTTGCATGTATCTCTGTATATACATATCTCTTTAATAAGGTGTGGTGCATCAAAACATGCTTAGGATGACCCTGCCTTCTAAAAATTGCTAATATTTTTTGGTTCTTGGGTCATAATTGTAGTTTTCCTGTCATTTTTCTTGGACCAGAAATTGGTACTTTTAATGTCACTTTAAGAATTTATAAAAGCCTGATATTGAATTATAGTGGATTAATAGGCAACATAGGTGAAATTGGGTGAATTCGAGGGGAATATGTATTGATTGACTGATTATGTAAATGTGTGTTAGAACCATAGGCTATTCAAATTTTCCCTATTCCAAGGAAGAAACAGACCGGAGGAGCAGAAATGGCTTTCCCTGGCTTATGTGGCTCCCTGGTGGCTTGTGGTATAGAACCTGACTCAACCTCAGGAAGGCTAGGCACTCTCCTGGCTTTATTACTGAGATGTGGGGAGACTGAACAGTGATTTCTAAAAGTATTTGTCAGGTTGAGGTTCCTTCAGAGTGGCTTTCTTCCCTGCCTCAGTGGCCTTCTCTACAGAGGCTAGGCCTTGGGAGTACATGGATAGATAAATATTGTCCCTGCCTCATAGAGGACAAACAGGACAATGGGAGTGTAGGTACATTCTACAGTGCTGTCGAAATGGTAGTTATTATTAAGCTATGTAATGCTAGGGTAGGTGATGTTAGGTTATGAGTGATAGAGGACATGTCATATCATTCTCCTGCAGAAGTTATGAGATTCATTTTCGTTTGGCCTTGAAAAGCAAACTTTGTATAAATGGACTTATTAAAATAATTATCTCCCCCCTATCCTGATAGGCTTATATATTTGCTGAGTTCAGACATTTGGAAAACAGGTGAATTTTTGTTTCTTCCCTTTTTGTAGCAAATCAATATCTAAGTCAACTATTACTATTTACGAACTATTTCAACATTACGTAAAAAGATCTTCAGTTGACTTGATCATTTCATTCACAGTTTGTAAATTGGTGTGTTTGTTTTTTATCAACTTTAAGCTGTGGAATTCTTTCACATTTGTCTGTTAACATCCTTTCAAAATACCCATTTTGTACCAATTAATTATTCTACTACCTAAAACCTTTACTTTAGTATGTTGAGAACAAGCAGAAAAGTAAGATTAATTGCATGACCTTATTTTGAAAGAAATACATATTTCTAAATTTAGATGTATTTAGGGTCCCCATTTGGAATTTTCCTGAAGCAGAATAATTCATATATTCTGTAAACCTACATAGTATTTGGCAAGGACCAGATTTGTGCAATTAATAATAGAGTTTCTTTTAAGGACCAGAGACCGAAGATGGGTACCATAGGAAATGGTTTTATATAAGCATGTGTAAAATGTATATTTTTAAAATGTAGTTGCTATGGACTTTAATATGTGTAAGTAAACTGGAAGTTTACTACTTTTTAATTTGTGATATGCTACCAACTAGAATTATTATGGGAAATAAAGTAGAGATTTAAATTAGACAATAAAAGTTTCATGTTGTATCTCTCTGTGTATATATAAATGTTTATATGGCTATATATTATTTGCATATATGATAATATATTATGTATGGTACAGTGATTTAATGGCAGTATACAAATAGAGCCTTCTAAATATCCTAAGCCTTCAAATAGATGTGAGGGTATTCATATTTTTTTAAGTATTCAAATAATTAGTTTTCTAGTTATTTTTCCTGTGTTTGGATTCAGTCACCAGTGGGAATTTGGTGGAAGACTAGACTAAATAACTTTGTAATTACCATGGTTTATGAACATTGGTGATTGTCTTAAAGACTAATTCCCTCACTCCTCCCTTCCCTACAAGTCTGTATATGTATATATGTGCCTATGAGGGAATAGTTGTGCACTATGCTAAGTATAATGATAAGTATGTATCATTTCATTTAATCATAATGCATATGAGGTATTATTATCATCCTTTAACAGGTAAGGAACTGAATACATTTAATATGTGACAGAGTTGGGATTTGAATCTGGGTCTGTCTAATTCATAAGCACTAGAGAAGTCTATTTAATTCACAGAAATAATTTTGGTATAATACCTATGGAGGTAAAAAGATACAATTGCCGT